GGTGGGTCATAAGAATGTTACAGAGCTTTAAAAGGGGGATCAGGTAAGTTTTATCGTGAAACAACCAAAATCTTCCCACCTTTGACGATACATAATGCCTGGTTCCTCGTTCACCGATCAGAATGAAAATTTAGCAAAAACAAGAGAATATCAACAGTAAAAACCAATGCAACCTGGTCTACTTACAAAATTAACTCGATACGTTGTACTAAATTCTTATTTTGAACTCTCTCATCAGCGTGTTCGGGCGAAGAAGCACTTGGGCTAGAGAGCGGTCTCATTACTGATCAACAGATTACTGCTTCATCCTCCTGGGATACGGCACACGGAAAACAGAACGCCCGACTAAACCGCCAAGCCGCCCGAGGTAAAACAAGTGCCTGGTCAGCGGGAAGCAATGATCTCAATCAGTGGCTTCAAATCGATTTCGAACGAAATGTGAAAATTACAAAGCTTGCGACTCAGGGACGTAATGACTACGGCAACCAATGGGTGAAAAGTTATACTTTCGCTTACAGTGCGGATGGCAGTAACGTTCTTCAGGCCTATAAAGAGAATGAAGTTGATAAGGTGCTGTGGTGTCCTTAATAATGCAGCTTATGCAGCGAGGGCTGTAGGGAGCTTTGCAATTTATATGTAATTTTTATTTAGTTTTAATGATGGGGGTCATCGTGTCTGTTTATCTCTATTTCTAGTTTTGTGTCTGTATGTGCAACACATCCGGCTTCTCATTGATTATCAACTACATGTAAAATTATCTCTGACGTTTTCCATTCGAATCGTCAACTTTTTGAAATTCAGTGAGGTGGTTAACCAACCTTTATCAACTTTTAATTGATGCCAAACTAACTGTTCGACTTTCCCAAAGAGCATCAGTTTGTTTAGTAATTCTAATTGGCGGTCTTTCCCCGCGGTTCTAAGTATTCGTTCATCGCTAAGTCAGCCAGTCTCACTCTCCTCCCTGAAAACAGCTGTGAATTGTTTTGAGGAGAGCTGAGATTTGATGTTCTATTGCGCCAATCGCCGTAAAGCATTACCAACGGTATCTGCATCGTTCTTTTTTGAAATTCACTACGATTTTTTTTGCCGGTGATTGTCTTTGCGGAGTTAATCTAAATACCATGTGGAGTCACATGAATTGTTCCTTTTATTTTTCAGGTTTTTACTGGTAATGCAGATCAGAACACCGTGGTTACCCATGTCTTGTTGCAACCAATCACAGCT